GGTTAGAAAGACCTTCCTCGCTTCCATAACGAATGTGTTCCTTGTGCTCACACGGAGGGGGGACTAATTGGATAGTTTTGGCGATTCAAGTCAGACTCAGGGACAGAACCAAGCCAGTTCACTTGATTTGAAGTTCACTCAAGAAATATTTTCACTCGGTTTTGAGGGGAGGCAGTGATAACACCACTGGGCTAGAAACCCCCAGGTTACTGTTCTGGGTATGAATTGGATAAAGATCTGTACAGCCAAGCTAATTGTCATTTTAAGAAAAAATCATCCCTTTCGGGCTCACTAATGCCCCTTCAGGGACAGAAAATCTGCTGTCTTCACCCAGTCTGGCCTACACTTGACTCCATAGAGACGTACAGCATAGAAACAGACCCTTCGCACCAACTCATCCGTGCCGACCAGATATCCTAAATGGATCCAGTCCCATTTACCAGCATTTGGCCCCTATCCCTCTAAACCCTTCCTATCCATGTACCCATCCAGATGCCTTTTTAAATGTTGTCATTGCACCAGCCTCCACCACTTCCTCTGGCAGCTCACTCCATACATGCACCACCCTCTGCGTGAAAAAGTTGCCTCTCATGTCCCTTTTAAATCTTTCCCCTCTCACCTGAAACTGGACTTCAGACCCACAGAGGCGTGTTTAACTCTGGAATGGCCCAGAGTGTTGACCGGTTTGAGGGTAATTAAAGATGGCCACTAATGCCCACCCCCTGTAACCAGTGATAGCCACTTCCTACAAAATTACAAATTACTCACAGGGTGGTTGGGGGCGGGGTGGGTTGGAATTTGGCAGTTTCTTCCTCTTCACTTCGAGCTCTGCTCTGTCTTCCAACAGGCGAAGATTTCAGCAAGGCAGAAGCCTTCATCATAACCTTCTCTCTAAACAACTACCAACCCGACGACCCCAGACATGAATTTGTCTTGCTCTGGGAGCGAGAATACTTAAAGATTCTCCAGGACTACAAAAATAACAAGTCCATCAAATTCAGCTTTGTCTATATGTCAGAGGTAGGTGTCTCGGCCTGGCAAAAGCGGGCCAGAGTGGGTCGGGGCAGGACTTGGCGACGTTAGCGATCGTTGTCAAACTGCCAGACCAGTCGCTCCCCCCGCCACCATCTCCAATGCCCTTGGCATGGGGCTTGTCGCCTAGGAAAAGGATTTAAACAACGCCCTTCACAATTCCAAGATGAACACCCACCACCCGCACCCCACCCCCCCTCCCCACCCAACCTCACCTCAGCAACTCCTGTCTGTCTCTTTCCAGGGGTGGGGGGAACGCGGCTCAGTTGCTGGTGCACAGCGAGATCCCAAAACAGGATCACTGACCAGAGTTCTGAGGAAGGGTGACAGGACCCAAAACGTCAACTCTGATTTTCTTCTTTCGCTGGACGTCGAGCTTTGCCAGCAACTTCTGTTTTTGACACTGACCAGATGTTAGCCGCGGTGCAAATGTTGGTCGGGGTACGTTGGAGGGGCATGGCGTTTAGCGGGTAGGGAGCTCCCAGCCATTTCTTTCGAACGAACTCTCTTAAAGAAGTCTCCAGGCCGAAACCTGAGATCACGCTTTGGGGCTTGAAAAATGTAGAGAGAGAGAGACCACTGTGGCTGTGCAGGGCATTAGTGAGGCCTCGTCTGGACATAGTTTTGGGCTCTTCATTTAAGAAAGGACCCCATTGAATAGTTGATCCTGCTGGAACCTACAAGATCCCAAGAGGTCTTGACTGGGTGGACAGGGAAATGACCTTTTTTCCCCTTTTGGGTGCAGGGATTCTAGAACTGCAGGGTCACTGTAGAAATTAGAGACAGCAGTGGTGGAAATGAACCATTGAATCCTCGCAGTGTGGAAGCAGGCCATTCAGCCCATCGAGTCCACACTGACCCTCCGAAGAATATCCCGTCCATTCCACGCTACCCTTGCAACTCTGCGTTTCCCATGGCTAGCCTGCGCATCTCTGGATGCCAGTGGGCAATTCAGCATGGCCAAGCCCACCCTAACCTGCACATCTTTGGACTGTGGGAGGAAACCGGAGCACCCGGAGGAAACCCACGCAGACACGGGGGAGGAATGTGCAAAGTCCACGCGGATAGTCGCCTGAGGGTGGAATCGGACCCGGGTCCTTGGCGCTGTGAGGCAGCAATGCTAACCACTGAGCCACCGCGCTGCCCGTCTAAGGCTGAGGCAGATAGATTTTTGCCTGACCAAGGGGGTTGATGGGTATCATTGGGGCTGGCAGGAATGTGGGTTGAGGCTGCGATCCAATCCGCCAGGGTTTTAGTGAGTGGTGGGGCAAGCCAGGGGATTTATTGATTCGTGCATTTTGCCTCGCTGCAGCCAGGCCCTCAAGGTGGCCCCTGAGAGGTAACAGACCTTTGTGAAAGGTTTTGTCTCCCCCGTGTGTTCACAGCGGTCCCTGGAGGACGAGATTAACAGAACCACAGCAGAAGACATTCCCATTTTTGCCATCAGTTACCTGGTGATATTCATCTACATCGCCTTGGCGCTCGGGGAGTACACAAGTTGGCGAACCGTCATGGTGAGTAACATCTTTCAATGCTCTGCTGGTACCCAAGGCCCACCTCTGGACTGTGTCGCCTCTTACCCTGTGAACATTGGTCCCTTAACACCAGCTTTTGTGTCTCCCTTCACAGCCATCCTGAGTCAGGGTGCTAATCCATGGCTGTGTCAGCCACTCTCCCCTCTTCAGAAGGATCCCGCTCACCGTCCGTCCTGTCATGGCCCGTTTCGCGGGAGGGGACGTCCATTGCTCGCAATCATCTCGGGTGGGGGCAGCTACGTCCACGGAGCGAGGAAGTGGCGTGGAATCGTCAGGCAGCGCTATTTGCTCTCGCCTCTGTGCTCGCCCCTGTACTAGAGCAACACGGCCGTTTCCTCCTCAACTCCTCCGCCATTTTCCCCCATCCCCTCCTCCAGAGCCCGCAGTTTCTTTTGTTTTCTCTCCTCATCGGATGACGATCCAATTCCCTCTTGATTGATACTGCCTACGCCTCAAACTCGCAGGCCGTGCGCTACAGGCTGTAACCACCAGCTGTGGGAGAATGTCTTCACCCCTGTCTCCATTTTGTCTTCGGCTCATCACCTCAAACTGACGTCCTTCGGCTCTTGACCCTTCCACCAATGGGAGCGAGTTTCTCCCTCTCCGTTCTGTCCATATCCCTCATGATTTTTTTAGCACCTCGATCAAATTTCCTCTCGTCTCTGGAGGAAGTAGTTGAAATCCTTCTTTGCTGGAATCTTTCCCATGAATCTCTTCTACATGTTCTCTCTAAAGCCTCATGGTCATAAGGTTCTGGAAAACACTGCCTGAATGCAACCATTGCGTGTGTAGAACAGGAAATGTGGAGGCAAATGGGCCAAAGGCAGGCAAATTGTACCAGTTTAGTTCGGCAAACCTGGTTGGCACAGACGAGTTGGGCCGAAGGGTCTGTTTCCGTGCTGTATTACTCTAATTGACGCAGGAACTACTCAGGTCATCAGGTGAAAGCTGCTGGATTAAAGTTAACACGGGGTCGAGAGCTGTTTGAACATTAATATTTGTTGTTCAGAGCCAGAGAATGCCCATGAATTGTTGCACAAGTCTGTCTGTATGCCCTGTTTTGTGAGGGATTGTCACGGTGACTGGAATGGCAACACTGAGGCCTAGTCTGAGGGGCCGACTTCAAATCACCCTGTGGCAGTTTACACACCGAACTCAGCTAATTAAAGAAATCCAGGATTAACATCGCTGTGGAACGCTGAATCGATGTAGAAAGCCTGCCTGACTCACTAATGTCCCTTTCGGGAAGCAAATCAGCCATCCTTACCTGGTGCGGCCTACACATGGTGTCAGTCCTGCAGGGATGTGGCTGGCTCTTAGCTGCCCCTAAAGAAGGCAGCGCGCCGCCAACCTCTCGAGGGGCAATTAAGCACGGGCAGTAAACGAACACAACAAATAACATTGCACGCCGCGGAAACGCGCGCGTCGCCCCGGCAGCCATTTTACGCCTGCTCGTTCACACAGAGGCCTACCACGCCGGGCCAGACCTAACTTGGCCATTGGCCTAAAGCGGACAGAAAGGAAAGATGGGTCACTTGAGTGTTTCTCGGTCTTCCCCTGCTCCCCTCACCCCGGATTGCAGATTGACTCGAAGGTGACGCTGGGGCTAGGCGGAATTCTCGTGGTCCTGGGCGCAGTTTTTGCGTCCATGGGGACCTATGCCTACGCTGGAGTGCCGTCCTCGCTCATCATCCTCGAGGTGGTCCCCTTCCTGGTGCTGGCCGTCGGGGCAGACAACCTCTTCATCCTCGTCCTTCAGTACCAGGTCAGCGGGATGGAAGGTCCGGGTCTCCAAAGCAAACGCGGTTCCAGATTTTGCTGAGGAGGGGGAGGGGGAGGGTTGTGTCGGCAGTGGGGGAGTCGGGGCGGGAGTGACTGTACACAGCCCGAAATACCGTGAGGAGGTGGTATGGGTATGGGAGCATCTCTTGATCAGATCCTGGAGACGGTGGGAGACAGGAAAGGGGTGGGGGAGGGGGCGGGG